TGTTAAATCGTGATTTTTTAAATATTGGAGCTGCAGAAAGGAATCACAAAAATTCGCCAAATTCGCCTTTCCATCGTTGTGTCTTTCATCCAGACTGCTGTAATTTTATGAAATTTCAACAAAATTTTAAATACACATTGTCGGAAAGTATCTTGTTTGATTCTTAATGGATAGACTAAGGATTTTTATATGTTTGTGAAAAATCTAGAGACGCAAGAATACGCACAATACAAAAATGTACAAAATATCCAGTGAATGAAGAATACTGGAAATGAAATGTTCAGTAAAAGAAACAAATTTTTATTTCTTTAATTATGTTTCTAAAAATCTAATTCTAAAAATATCTGCAGTTTATGTTAATGAGTTACAAGTCGAGGCAACTTGAATTTCGTGAAACTAGAAATTGTTTTTGTTCGTCAAAATTTGCATAGTTCAAGAATAACAATTTCTGCATTGTTATTCGCTATTTCATTTCTTAGAAATTTTCTCATTTAACTCTTTTTGAGTGCTTAAAATTCTAAATGCTTAATGCCGAAGGAGGAGTAATGTATAACAAATTATTATTCGTATATCTTTTGATATATTTATTCAATACATTATTTAATATATTATCCTCTTTGAACGTTTAAGTTCAATAATAATTATTTCATTATTTCATTATTAAATTATCTATACAGTGCTTTAGACTAAACACTTAAAGGATTAACACTACAACCATAAAAGTATTTAAAATGACCAATTTAAAATGTTCGTAAAATTAAAATTAAAAGTAAAATTCAAAGATTTAAATGTAAAACAATATAAAAAAGTAGAAGCTAGGAAACAATGTAATTTATCATGTTATAAAGCTTTTTTATTTTCAATATTTCTTTAATTTTGGAATCTTTATACTTTAGTCGTTAATGGCTCTAATTGTTAATATCATATTACGAGAAAATAAAAATGATAACCACGCTTATTACAAGCGACGATGATTAATTGAATTCATTTTGGTTTGCCGTTTCGCGGGTCTTCCTTTTCAACATCAAATGCGTCCCTGTGGTGTGTACATCGTTCATGTACCGCCTAAAATCGTTCGCCACTTGTTACCCGAATGGACCACGTCCCTGGCCGGCTTGTCAGGCGTAGGGAAGATTTCAATCGGACTTTTTTTCTTTTGCATGACGCAACTTTTCTCTTTTTTCGATCGACGAGAAGAAACAGCGGAAAAAGTAACATGTGCTTGCGCGGGATATTTAAATTTCGTTATTAATCATCTTTGCATGTTTAACCCTTTTAGCGCTGTGAACTCGCACGTTGACTACTTCATTATTTCATCCTTTCTACAGTGTTATGTTTACACTAGTGATTACACCGTT